TTWTMTSWRAAAAAAAATTATTTCATATATTAGTAGTATATCATAAAACATATATTAGAGGTAATATGTTCGAAATAATTGGTAGATATCATAGTTATATAAGAAGTAAATCAATAGTATATAAGAAGTCAATCAGTTTTATATTACCTATAGTAGTAGATATCATAGTTATATCAGAAGTAAATCAATTTCATATCATATGTATATCAAACATATATCACATATATATGAGGAGTATATCTATCAATCATAGTTATATCATAAGTAAATCAACAGTATATCAAAAGTCAATCAGTTCTATATCACCTATAGTAGTATATATCATAGTTATATCAGAAGTAAATCAATTTCATATCAAATATATATAAAACATATATCACACATATATCAGGAGTATATCTGTCAATCAGAGTTATATCAGGAGTATATCAGGAGTATATCTATCAATCATAGTTATATCATAAGTAAATCAATAGTATATCAGAAGTTAATTAATTCTATGTCACCTATAGTAGTAGATATCATAGTTATATCAGAAGTAAATCAATTTCATACCATATGTATATCAAAGATATATCACATACATATCAGGAGTATATCTGTCAATCATTAGTATATCAGAAGTAATTTATTATTGGTTCGGGCCTGCAGGGTATATTTGTAATTTAGAACATGGGCCTCCGTTTTTTTGCCAAAAAAATGCTATATTTGAAAAATCCAAATCTTATTGCTATTTTGCTTATTTTCTTAACTTTTTTTGTCGTATCTCAAGTTGTCCCAAATATAAATAGTTGTGAAATACTCATATTTCTTAATAAAATTGAAAACGAGAAACAAGAAATGGAAACGTTGTCAAATGGATCCTTAACAACTTAAATAATGACCACCAAAGTCGTAGAACAACTAGTTTAGACATAGATTTCCCGACCAAAAATTCATGGGTTAAACTTAAATGACAACCGAAGATTTAGTCTGTCATTTTTTTTTTTAGAATTCAACCATACGTAGGGATTAAAATTTGAACCTTGGATCTTTTATAATAATATATGTTTTAACTAGTTAATTTAGTCTATTGGCACGAATATAACCATAAAAAAAAACATTTCATAATTGTTTCAGAACAATATTGGCAGTAAAGAAGCCTATGTTTAGCAACAATTAATCAATAATGAATAGTTCACTGCACCTTTTGAAATATACGCAATTACCCATGAGAAGAAAAAACAGCAAAAATATGAAATTTCGATCTTTTTCTAATCCCAACAAGTCACTTTTTCAACTTTATTCAACTGCTGATTTTCAAATATAAATGGTTATATATTTTTTATTTCTTGTTCTATAACATTTCAAATTAAAACAACAAAAGTTTTATTTGAAAATTAATTCTAAAAATCAAAATATTCAAAATTTTTATGTTAGGTTTACTTTTTAGTATTTATTATGCGTCAAGAATGGTAAAAATAATAATATTTTTATTTATGTGGGAGAAAATTGTAAATGATAACCAGAAATAAGAAACTTGATTTTGTTGTTCCTAGACTTTCCATCCAATTTTGAAATTTTTTCTTAAAATAAAAAAACGAGAAATAAGAATATTTACCAAATACTTATATCTCTCAAAATCTGGAATTAGAAACATGGAACGACAAATAAGATCATTAAAGTTCGTTTGGTAACGTTTCCATTTCTTGTTTCTTGTTTTATTGAGAAACTTATGTAGGGTCGGATCCAAGATTTTAGGTTATGGGCACAAATGCATATAAACATAACAGAAAATAATTTTAAACTTGAATTTGGAAATATGTATCAATTTCTATCCGATACACCGATAAGTGTTGTAATTTTCAAATGTATTTCAAATTTTACCTTGATAGATTTTCATTTGAAATTTTGTTGAAAAAAATATTTTCGTAGGTTCATATGATTTAGAAAAAAAAAATTTTGGTGTGAAATAGTTGATAGGATTTAGACAAAAACATTATTAGAGTTTTTTTTCCCTTAAATTTATAATTTTAAGTTATTTAACGGTAAATTTTGTGTATCATTAAAATTAGGATACTTGCAAATATGGCAAAACATTTTAGTAAAATAAGCAAAATAGCAACCACATTTAGTTTTTTCAAATATAGCAATTTTTTTCAGAAAAAACGGAGGTCCAGTTGTAAAATTACAAATTCACCCCTTAATATATCTGTAATATATATCTGACTACTGATATATATATTTGATATACCACTGATATAATAATGATATACAATTGATTTACTTATGATATAACTATGATATCTACTCAACTTCTATCATGTTTTACCACTGATGTACGTATGATAACCATTGATTTACCATGCTAATACAATACATATATATGTGATATATATTTGATATGTCTCTAATTTACCGTTGATATACCACTGATATAACTATGGTATCAACTGATATAATTTATTATATGATTATATGATTTACCACGAATATAACACTGATATATATTTAATATGCTTCTAATTTACCACTTATATACCTCCGATATAACCATTATATCTACTAATATAACCATTATATGTGTGTTGATATATATATATATTTTGATATCATATGTGTGTTGATATCATACTATTATATCCAATATCTTTTTCATATGAAAACAATGGTGCAAAATTTTTTATTTTTTATTTTTGAAATATAAAGTTATTATATAAAAGGTTTATGTGGACCATGCAGTCCAAAATGACAAGTTAACATTTTGATGTACTTTATAAATTTAAACAGTTGAGTTAACATTTTGATGTACTTTATAAATTTAAACAGTTGATATCTTTTATATTTAGTATCTAATTAATATTAACATTGAATAAATAGTAGTGATATAGTAATCAACATTATTGATAATATTAGTATATTAAACAACAAATTGAAATGATAAATTATAATTTAAACAGCTGATATACCACTCAAAATTAAACATTTGATATAGTTTATATTTAGTATATCAGTTGCTAGTATATTTAGTATATAGGTTGGAAATATATTTAGTATATCATAAATTAAAAGTACATCAGATATATATATTATATGTATAATACGTACATTTGATGTATACCAGTGGTATATTTGATAATGTATATCATGGTATATCTGATACTGTATATTAGGGATACATCGAATGTATATCGGAAGTATATCAGAGTTACATCGGATGTACATTAGATATAGATTTGATGTATATCATATACAAATTTACATAAGATGTATATCAGATATAGATTTGATGTATGATGTATTGGATGTATATCAGATATAGATATACATCAGATATATATTAGATATCATAAGGGTAAAATTGGAATAATAAAAAATCCGAAAATAAAAATTCAAATATTTTGCTATATTTGAAATTTTGAAAAGCTGATGACATTTTTTGAAATATATAAAATATTTTTGCTACCCATTACAATTACTCTTAAAATTATAAGTTTAAGTTACTTTTAACAGTAGATTTTGTGTATCATTCCAACCACATTTCAAAACTTGATTTTTATTAAAATAGTAATTTTTTTTTTTGGCTTTTGTATTGACAAGGTGATAAAAAGATGATGGCATTTATCTAAGTTTGGTATTACAATAAAAGAAATAGGTTCCATGATATAAACTTAACTAAATATATTAAAAAAAATATAAATTCCAATGATCCTCTTAGAAACGTGGATTCTATTGTTTTTTTTCTCATATCCAATTTCTTTTTTAATAAAAGAAATAAAGAACGAAAAATACTTACAAGTACAAATAAAACTTTTTTTATTAAAAAAACGAAAACATTATCAAATAAATCGCCTGTAAAGTCGGTGTATTATTAAACTTTACAAAATGATCGGTATTATATAAAACAATAATAGAAGCAAAAAATTTCCACCTTCTCCTTTGACATTTTGCTTACGTGTTTCTTTCAATGTAGAAAATAATAATAAACTCAACCACCACAGCTACAAGGTGCAATGTATTAGCATTGTGTATGCTTATTTTATATTTATTAGTGTTCGGGTTCGACTTGCATGTATTTCAACTACGCTCATAATTACATCTTAAGGTGGGTTCGGTAAAATCACTTCCATTTCTATTAATCATGTTTTGCAAATTAAAAATTTGAATTTAAGAAAATACAAAACCACTTAAAAATGATTTTTAAGGTATCATTTGGTAGTAATTTTGAAAAATCAATTATTTCTAGATTTTTTGATATTTTCAAGAATAGACGTCTATCCTTCTAAGTCATTAAACAAGGGATAGAAGTTCCAAACCTTTCATATATGAGTAACATTAAGATAACTTAAAATTTATTGGATAAGATTTTCAATCTAAAAATAAATAAAAACATTGTTTTATCACTCTTGCGTCTTAAAATGAATAATAAATATTAAAAAAAAGTAAAAATTTTTAACATTTAATTTTAAAAATTAATTTTCATGTAAAATTTTTACTTTTTTTTACTTGAAATGGTAAAGAACAAAAAAGAACCACTCTTGCGTTATAAAATGAATAATAAATATTAAAAAAAAAAAGTAAAAATTTTTAATTTTTAATTTTAAAAATTAATTTCATGTAAAATTTTTACTTTTTTTACTTGAAATGGTAAAGAAAAAAAAAAGAACCAGAAATAATTACCACTCTTCTTTCAAAAAAAATAGAAAAAATAATAAACAATGAGCAATTATCCAATTCAGTTCTATTTTTCTTTAGGAAAAGAAACGAAAAACAATAAACAAAAACATTACCAAAGGGACCCTTAATAAGTTAAAGTCTCATGAACTTAAAACATTGCTTGAATAAGATGTTTATCGATTTGCTTGAATAAGATGTTTATCGATTTTTTTGTTTGAACTCATGACTCCTTGATAAGAAACAGATGTCAATTACACTGAGCTAAGTTCATGTTGGCATGTTTATCGAAAGTTGGACAATCTTTGTCCAAAAAAAGGAGTATTTAAGTCTTGCCTAAGCCAAGTAGCTTTACTTTGTTCATATTTTTTGTAATACCAAACCGAACTTTTATAAATAAGATCTTTTTTTAGTATAACAATTTCGGGATATGAAAGATCGAACCTTCAACCTCAAAAGGAGTGCATATCAATTACCGGAACTATGCTCATGTTGGCACGTATATAAATACGATCGATACTTTGTTCTGTAGAGATATAAATCTGACAGAAGATGCATATAATTTCACAAAGTTTTTTTTTTTTTTATACATATAATTTCACAAAGTTGGCATATAATCACTACCAAGTATCGATAATAAATATCCATACTCCATAGTTTACAGAAATATTAATTTCAAGATACAACACAGAAAGCAAAGGATTTTGCTCCATTTTTGTCACAAATGAAACTAACCTTTGACATTATTGTATATTCCAAGCATCAACTGTATCTACATTCCTCCATCGTTATTTTAGGACCCTAAATTTCAAAAAGAAACACATAAGCTTTAGAAATATGTAGGTGTTATCCAACAACATTAATCCAAATAATCCTTCAAATTTTGAACTACGAAGTATGGTGCATGCAGAGGAAAAGATTTAAAAAGAAAAACTCTGTTTTAGAGCCCATTTGGTGCGGAGGAGCGCTTTGTTTTTGTTTTCTTAAGGCCTCATTGCCCTTTTCCTGAAAGAAACACTAATGAAATTGTGGTTTACTTAACTTCTATAATCTATAGAATAAAACAGCATTTTTAGTGAAGCAAAGAGCAGTTTGGTCAGAAACATCTACCGCACACTCAATCCAATAAGCAAGACGAATGTCTTCCTCTTTCGATGAGCATCATTATCACTATATTCATGCTCTATGTGGGTATCCATACTTCTTAAATTAGTATTGTAAATTATGAAATTCTAGCACTAGAAACAACTTCCAGATGTACCCAAACAACATAAAGCATGCACATCAAATTCATACAAAATTCTTTCCTCATATTGGGCTAAATGGTTACATGTGCTAAAAGGGGGTGGAGGTCCCCCAAAAATGAACTAAACTATTTCCCAAATGGTAGATAGTTTAATAGAAAAGAGAGCCTCTGAATTGTTTGAACTCCCCAAAATAGCAGCAAAAGTCTCAACTCTCAAAATCTCAAACCATTAGAAAATTACAAACAAACTGTATACTTAATCAGGTAAGATCCTTGATGAGTTGGGAGTGACTGTTGGAAGGATAAAAGGGCTTTTCAGCCTGATCAAAACGCTAAATTAGTGCTTCTTCTGAAAATGCTTCTAATGATAGTTATTTAACTAAAAAGCATTTTTTCCCAAACTCAGCAAATCTTTGAAATCTTCCTTGACCTACAATGAGGACTCGTTGTTTAGCTACTAATCCCACGTTTTTGCACAAATCTCCCTGAAACGCTAACACACCGGTTCGAAACAATAGAGCTCTAATTGGTCTTTTCCAAAGCATTGAACGTGAAACACTCCGGCCTCGTTTGATAAACTATTTCTTTTTTAGTATTTTGTTTTTTAAAATTATGTTCCTTCGCTCACACTTTACTGAGTATGTTTCCACATTTCTTAAAAACACATTTTGATTCTTAGTCAAATTCCAAAAACAAGAACAAGTTTTTTGAAAACTACTTTTTCTAGATTAAAAAAGCTTTCAAAAATTAGGTAGCAAAATAAATAAATAGATAGGTGAAAGTAGTAAAAGTTTACTTTTAAAAAACAGAAAACCAAAACCAAAATGGTAATGGAATGACTTTAATTTGGAAGACACTTATCAAAACATAAAATGGAGTTCAGTCACCTACAATTTCGACAATGGAATATCATTATAATACAGAAACTAGAAAGCAGTTTGGTTACCGAGAAAGCTAAGCAGAGGAGCCCACGGAGCCATCCCCAAGAAGCTTGAACTCCTGAAGCTGCTTAAAGTTCTCCCATGCCTTGACCCAGATCTTGGCTTCATAAACTTTCTTCTTACCGCCGTCAGTTGCCTCAAGAGTTATGAAATATATTGCTCCAGCAACCACCTGCTCCTTCACATTCACCACTTTTCCAAATTCCAGAAGCGCATTCTGCACACAGAAACTGATTTCAATCACAACTTCAAAATAGGAAAAACGAATCCCTCCATGATTTCATCCATTACCTAAATCCAGACAATTTTTACACAAAAATGAATTTTCGTGCAAGACGCATATTACAAGACACATAATGGTAAATCGTGACCGCTATTCGATCCATTTCTCTTCTTTCTGTTCGCTAGAAATAAAGTAAGCTATCGTCGACAAATCAAACACACCACACACAGAAATAAACGCAGAAACCACATGATAAAAACTCAAACAAATGATCCATCCGCAAAAGAGAACAGAATTCAAAATTTTCAAAATCGAAAACCTAACCTCTTTCTTGTTGTGTTCGGCGACTGCGAAACGAGCAAGATCGTCAATCTCGACGCTGTTCTGGTTTCCAGAAACTTCCTTAATACCTCCAACATTCGCCATTATGAACTCTTCGTTTCAGTGCACAGAGAGAGAGAGAGAGAGAGAGAGAGAGAGAGAGAGAGATTGATCTTCAGACTTCTTCTTCTTCCTGCTTCCAATTCCAAATTCCAACGCTTCGATTTATAGAATTTCGAACCGACGAGCATTGATTGGTCTGCAGAATCGCCATGGGCGCGCATCCGTGAATGATGGAGCGTGTGGAACACGCTCGGCCTTTTCTTCGCATTCACCATTTGGTTTCTTCTTTTTTTTCCCTTTTTTTTAATTATTTAATAAAAACAAAAACAAATAAATAAATAAATAAGAAGAATGGCCATCAATCTATTATTCTTTTTAGGAAAAGATTCTGTATCCAAATCTTAAATATGGAAATCAATTGAAGTATTGGGTTTTCAATGTGTTCGGGATTAAACTTACAACCTGATTAGAGATATATGTTAATTGACATTAAGCTATGTTTACTTTGACATGTAGACGAAAATTTAATACTCTTTATAATATTTTGGGAATATTACAAAAACCTTTATAAGAATTGTCAAAGCATGCATAAATTAGTGGTAATTAACATATATCTCTAATCAAGAGGTTGTAAGTTCGATCCCCGTCCCACATATTATACTTTAAAAAAAACCTTTACAATAATTGATGTTATAATTATGCACTTAAATTATCATGATTTTTTTAGAAATTGAATATAGGTATAGATCCAATTTTCTATACAAAAGGACCTATTAAATATAAAATTGAATTTCAAGGACTAATGGGATACTTTTTAAAAATTTCTAACTCATTATATACCATTCTCAAAGTTAAAGAATTAAAATTCTAATAGAATTTATAATTTAATTATTAAAAATTAAAGGTTAAACTATGAAATCCTTTTTTTGTCTTTTTGACTAAATGCTTAATCCACAAACTATCAAAGTGATAAAAGAAATAAATCTTAATCAACAAGATAGCTCCAACTGTCTCAACAATTTTTGTGTACACCAATTATTTAATACTTGTAATAGCTTTTTTTTTTTTTGAATGGTCACATTTCAAATGTACTGTTTTAGTGGGTAGCCTTATTAAATGGGAATAACACTTGTAATGACAATTCGGTTCGGTTCATTAGAGACAAAGACGAGAAGGAATAATGGAGAAATTGACCCCCTCAATTTGTTTTAGGTTTAGAAAATTATACAAAAAAAAATAAGTTTTTAAAAGTTTTCGCTCTAATTGCCAACAACAGCAGATTAAGATTAAGAGTACATGTATGTTGAAAGTTCGAATCTCCATCATTATATATTGTACTTAAAAAAAAATTATCTCTAATTTACCTCCTTAAATTTTTAGAATGGGATGTTATATGTATAAAGTTTGGACGTAAAATTTTGCCCCATCGTATGAAAGTTTTCTAACTTATCTCTCTTAGCTACACCTCATCATCATGTAATAAATACATTGTTGGCATGGGTGGTTGGCCTTATCAATAAGAAAATGGAACTTGAAAATAGAACCTTTTCACACCTCGTATCTCATTCAATTATTAACCTTATTAATTATTAGTCGAGCTCCGTAGAAATTGTGTTATATTGCGATGAATGAATCCTAGTTCTATAGAAGAGCGTTGGGAAATGTTACCTTGTCATTTCGATGCTTCAAACATATTATTCAACAAATTTTATATTGGTGGCATCTATGTTTTCAGGTGAGTGTCAAGATGGACTTTCACTTCGTAAGTTAAAAATGACTTTGTCTGGTCCGTATGAAAGGCTTGGACAATTATTTTCTTACAAGGAAGATCAACGGGCAAGCTCTTATTCCTTAAAATATTTAATATTGTCGTGACCATGATTAATTGATCACGTGAATAAATTTAGGAGGCTTGGTTTTGTCTAATTTGTAAAAGGCATTGGCGATAAGAAATTATAGCATGCCACCAATAAAAAAGTTAAAAAAGGGTATGCGTGACATTATTCCTAAATCTTGAAAAATAATTAGGTTAAATAACACATTTGGTCCCTGAACTTCCAGGGAAGTAACGATTTAGTCCCTGAATTTTCAAAAGTAACGATTTAGTTGAACTTTTAAATTGGTAATAATTTGGTCCGTACCGTTAAAATTCTGTTTAAATTTAACAGAAATATGAGGTATGATGCCAGTCTAAAATTTATTTCGTAACCCACCTATGCAGGCTTAAAAAGGAAAAAAAGAAAAAACGGACCTCCTGCAATGTTTAATAAAAACAGAGTATTACTCTCCGCAAAAAATCAACAATCTGTTGGTAAGATCGACGGCTCTTACGTGGATGGCATCTCATATTTCTGTTAAATCTTATCAGAATTTTAACAGTAGGGATCAAATTGTTACTTTTGAAAGTTCACGGACTAAATCGTTACTTTTGAAAGTTCACGGATTAGATCGTTACTTTTGAAAGTTCAGAGACTAGATCGTTACTTTAATGAAAATTTAGGGACTAAATGTGTTTTTTAACCAAATAATTATTTTGAAATTGGTGATTATTTTTTTTCTTTTGGTGAACATAGCATATGTGGAGTACAAATTTGAACCATTGACCTAAAAAAACAAGTTACTAATGTGTAATCGTCGAGCTATATGTATAGTGCCACTTAAAAATGATAGTAAGTCAAATCAATATATCATATAACATAATGTTGTTAATAAGAAAAGACTAATGGAAATTGAAAGTATAATTGAGACTTTGTAAATTATATAGACTAAATAGATATAATCATCAAAATTTATAGATTAAATTGAAAATTTAACCATAAACTAGAAAATAAATCAATTTTCACCTTTAAACTCGATGAGGTTAGCGCCTTGCATCGACAGGTGCACAACAAGGACGTGTGCACGCTGGGACGTGCGCTTTGTGCATGCACGTGGGCGCTGTCGTGCGTGGACATGCGATGGCGTTTGCAGTGCGTTTGATATGACCTTCGTTGGTTGTTTATTGGCCTTCACGATTGACAAAATTTGTTGGTGTGTCCAATGAAGTCTTCTTCGTTTTGAAGATCGTTGAGTCTTGGAACTTGGAGTCATTTATGATCACATCAGGAGTTGAGCCGATCTGTACTATAATCACTATTATGTACTCTAATCACTATTATGCTAAGAGTGATTACTATATGAGGTATCAATTCCCTCTACATAGTTATCTCCATCCCTTTCCATTTAATATTGTACCAATTGAATGAGAATCTTGTTGAGTGATGATGATGGATTGTAGGATGGGGTGTTGTGTCAATGTATGAACGGCCATGACTCATATTTTTAATCGAGTTGATAACTTGTCACAGAACTTTACACCAGTGTAGTATTTGACTACATATACTTCAAAACTAGGTTAAGTTAGTACTTAATCCGAACTGGTGTTGAGGCAAGTTTAGATGAATTATGTTATATTGTATAACGTTGTGAGGAAGGAACTCCACCTTTTATAAGTGTGTTTTGGGAAGTGTTTTCCTGCTACTTTGACACTCCATACTTACTGTCAGCTAATTTTACGTCGGTGACGTCTATATTTTTAAGTTGGTGTCGAGCTGGGTTTTTACCGGGTCAGTCAGAGGTGACTTTGCTGGCCTATCTCACCCTTGATCTATTCGATCTAAGGCCTAGACACATGTTTCATGATGCTAATTTCACCCCTAACAGATTAATTGAGACCTTTAAAATAAGATATAAAGTCTTTACCGTTGGATTTTAAGGTGGGAAAGAAAGTGAAAGTTTAATAAATTTATTCACATATACATTGTAAATATGTTTATTTCTATAGTGGTTTTATTTCTTTATTTATTAAACTTGAAGTTATTTATTTAATTGAAAAAATGTTTCTTTATTTTGTTAAGGTTACAAAGCTACACATTTGTAATTTTGTATGTGTTAAGTTACATATGTAACCTATGTAAAATGTTACATATGTGTTAAAAACGTGTGAGATGTTACTTGTTTTGGACAACTATAAATAGTTGTTGTGTTCATTTGATAAATCAAGCAATTCTCATTTTGAGTTCCTCCTCTACTCACAAGAGTTCTCTCTTCTTTTGAGTTCTTCTTCTTGTTTATGTTAAGAGCAAGTATCTAATGGCCTCTTTGGTTGGAAATTCGGATTGTGTTTTTTGTTTTCAGATTCACTGAATCAAATGGATCCAGCGAATACACGTTTGACAGGATTTTGGATATTTGTTTTTGAAAACTGTTTTCGGATTCTGTGATTCAAACAGTAGAAATTCTGAAAACAATTTTTTTATGTTTTCAATGTTTTCAGATTCAGAATTTGAAATTTTGAAGATGCAGAATTACATTAAAAATGATAAAAACTTTGATAAATATATTACTTCATATTATAAACTCATTTTATGTTTGTTAAAATTAAAACATGTAAAATATAATGTATTCTAAATTATATAACCTTGTAAAATAACAATTATACAAAATTCATAAAAAAAAATGTTAATAAATTAATTAATATAAGTTTAGATTAAACTAAAATTTAGTTTGCAATTACTTCTAGTTTACAAATATATTACTAAACAAACATTGAACAATTTTTTAAATTGAGATACAATTATCAAATCTGCTACCAAAAACATATCTGAAAACACTGAAAACGAAGAATACAACTCTGGTTTTCATTGAATCCCTTGTTTTCAAATTTCTATTTTCTGATTACCAACCAAACGCACCCTAAGAGTTCTGCATCCGAGTAGTTCAAGGTTGCTATTCTACCGGAGTTAGTCGTTGTATCATGCTGAGACAATCGTTGTAGTCTTCTAGCAACTTATGCAGAACGAATAATTGTCTTCAGGTCAGTGCTATTGAAACGTGCCTCGACTATTTTGATCAAGTTTTGGTGTTCATCAAGTTGTCAAGATCTATAATTGTTTGTAGTCAGTTACGTTGTAAATTGTTGTTAGTATTATTCAGTTTACATATACAGCGTATATATACCCAACATTTACTGGTAGAAGACATCTGCAATAAAAAATTATAGAATGCAAGCAATTAAAAAAAGTTAAAAGGGCATGACTGACATTATTCCTAAGTCTTGGAAATAATTATTTTGAAATTGGAAACTATTTTTTTTATGTGAATACGACATTCTAAGTGTAGGGTATTTAACCATTTACACACAGTGAAACTGAAAGATGATTCAGTAAAAAAATAGCATGTCACATAACATTAAGTAATGTTGTTAACCAGAAAGGCTAACAATCGGTAATTGAGACTTTTTAAATTCCATCGACTAAATAGATACATTTAGAGACTAAATTGATAATTTAACCATAAATTTAAAAAATAATAATAATCAATTTCACCCCTAAACTTGGTAAGATATATCAATTTTTATCCTATAGTTTAATTTTTATCAAACTTGACGTTTAATTTATCCTAGCATTACAATGTGCACCTGAACGTGAATGAATGTTGCAACTTTTACCTTCTATTGGATTTTCGTTTGGAAAATCATTTTAAAAAGATATTCTCATATACATTCAATGAATTACAAAATAGAATTTTGTGACAAGATTGACCGGGTTCACAGAAAGATAATTATATAGTTAAATTCTTGTTCAAATTTATGACTTTTGGGAGCTTATTCAATAGTTGATCATATGTTAATCAAATTTAATTTTATGCAAATCTTGATATAAATTGAATCTTAGTGAGTTTTTTGAGATTTTTAAGTTGTTTTAGGTTCAAATTAATAGGTGAATTAGCAAAAATGGAACGAAATATAAAACTTACAACACTTATAAAAGCATAGAGTTCAGCTCGAAGAAATTGAAAGTTTGTAAAAGTATTTTCAGAATAGATTATTTTTTTTGGTTAAATTACAAATTCCATCATAAACTTTTTGAATTATGTTTAATAAGTTAAACTTTAAATATCATTGGTCAGTTATTCAACTTTTAATTTTATATATACATATATATTCTAGGTTTATTAAATAGTTTTTAAAATTTACTTTTATCTTATTAGACATTTTAAATTAGTGATTTTATATTTTATAAAAAGAAAATTCATAAATTTATTAGATACAAAATTGAAAGTTTAGAAATTTATTAGATATACTATTAAAAATTTAAAAATATAATGTACATTTTCTAAAGTTAGGAGACTTGTAAACCCAATTTTAAAGAGACCAAAAGTTTTAAAAGACGAAATCACCTAAATTAAAACTATGATATTTTAAATTTTAGTTTTGAAATAATTATGTTTAAATAATTAGTTAAGAAAAATGGGCACTTACCATTCTGAAAACAAAAATAAGGAAAATAATACAATGAGCAACCTGAAGTTTTGTAAATATAACAAAAATATATTTAAAAAATGGAGGCTCAAGTAATAAAATATCAAATATATCCTAAAGTCCAAAACCTGATATACCTACAATATATATTTGATGATCTGTATTATTGATTTACCGATCTACCATATTGATATAACTATGATTATATGTTGATATACACTAATATACGTCTGATACATACTTCTAATATGATTATTTAATTCTTATATACCTCTTATATATCTGCAATATGTATGTTTTAATCAACCTTATTTATTTACCAATTATTTACTATTGATTTATTATTGATTTACCTTATGAAATATTACTTTTGATTTATCACTGATTTACTAATATATCCACTAAATTTTTTCAGGTTAAAAAATAATGCAAATAAGGAAAAATAAACCTAAAATTAATACAGACAATGTTAATATGGACCATGCATATCTAAAAAGACAGATTAAACCAACATCAGAGACAGAAACAATGTCAATATATCGTCCCAAATATATATTAATCACCGAAAAATGGAGTTAATAATCATCAACCTAATTTTGCCTTTAAAATTTCTCAAATAGAATGAAAACTCGTATTTAATAAAAAGGTCTTTTAGATTTTGAATAATATGACTGAACTTGTTTATATGTAAAACATTTTGTATTTAATCTTATGTTTGACAATTTTGTTGATAATATAACGTGTTTCCCTCTTTGTTGAGCAGTACATAAGTGATTCGGTAATTTTTAAACTTGGAATTTTTCAAATTTAGAATTCCCTCCCATGTTGACATTAGTATTATTTTACTGATATACCGCTGATCTCTGTTATTGATATACCTCTGATAGTATATCTATGTTATACTTCTAATATATCTCTATTATATGTATATAATGATTTACCTTACCTACTATATTGATATTAGTCTAATAAACAGCAATACATCACCCAAGGTAAAATTAGAATTATAAAAATGCAAATATTTTACCATAATTTCAAATTTTAAAAAGGTGTTTACATTTTTAATTTTTTACTATGAGTAAATCTTTTGCTATCCATGATTACGCACGGCAAATTCTCTTAAAAAATCCATTATTAATTTCTCCCTGTTTTTATCCCACGCGATGAACAAAACGACCTCTACGAAATTTCCATTTCTTAAATCAAGAGAGGGAGTTATTTTTTCGAAAAAAAAAAAGGAAAAGAA